TTAGCACGAGTTTGATGCCCTTCTATTGGATGACTGCTTTGCTTCCGCTACCTGAGCCAAACTACACAGAAGCTAAGGAAGGTTATTTACACATGTGAACAGCGCATTTCAGAAAGACAGTGCCCGTCACGGTGCCTAGAACAGCCTGAAAATCTAACAATTCTCCCAAGTTTGGGAAGGCGTCCAGGTTTTCTGAGATTACTTTTCTGAGCATGAGCGGAAGTCACCCTTTGGTGCTTTGGGCAGTCTGCGGTTTTTTTAAAATGATAGGTGCTATATTAAGGAGCAATCAGCTTCATTCTGCTTTTCCCGTTGCACCCACAAGCAAGTGACCAGGTGGCAAATTTGTCTTCGTTACAAGAAAATAAAGACCGCACTCACAGAAGTCCTAAGGCAGCCCAACACCCCATCTTCCCATAGTAAAGATGGCGGCCTCTTGAGTACAGACTACAGGCAGTACCACTTCCGCGTTTTTCTTGAGCCCTCGTCCAACATGGCGGATGAGGCCACCCGGCGGGTGGTGTCCGAGATCCCGGTGTTGAAGACTAACGCCGGACCTCGAGATCGTGAGTTGTGGGTGCAGCGACTCAAAGAGGAATATCAGTCTCTTATCCGGGTTAGTTGTGCTTCTGCGGCCGACCGCGTCGCAGAAGGGTTGCGGATAATCAGGTGTTCTTAGGAATAGGCTCCGTGTGGAAGCCGCTTCCGGTTATAAAATTTAACTCCCAGATTCATAGAAGCTGGACGATTGTGGGGCTGGGGGAGTTTAGGGAGGTATGTGGGGAGGAGGCAAAAGAAACTCTGTTTAGGTGCCCCATTGGGGCCAAAGCAGCAGTTATTTTAGGGATACGCCCTCCCGGAAGGTGACGTGTCCCTCTGGCTCCAGGTGTTTGCTCTCCTGGATGTAGGGGAGGTGGTCCAGAGGAATTCCTGGGGCTCTAAGTCCCAGTCGCTTCTCTCTGTTCCCTCTTTTACTCTTCCTGAGGGAGGAACACACGCTAGGGGTGAAAATTCAGGTAAGCGTTAGTTGCAGAGGGTTGAGGAGTTAAGCTCACGTTAGGAGTGAACCATCTTCTCAGCGAATCTCCCTTCTGTGGAAAGAGAAGATAGTTTATCTTCCTTGCAGTGGTCTCTGCCTGTTTCAAAGGCCAGCAGCTCTCCTGACACACGTATTTATTTTCACTAAAACAAAAACAAAAACACACATTTGTACACCTAGCACCTAGGGACAGGATCCAAATCCGAATAAGGTGGAGCCTACTGAGATAGATGGAAACAAATCATTATAATAACATTAAGGGGAGCGAAAGGGAGAGATTGCTAGGATGTTTTGAGAGTAGAAGGTGAGACACCTAATCTACCTTGGGTCTGGTTGGGGAAGGCTTCATAGAAGAGGCAGTGCTTGAGCTGAACCTCAAAGGGTAAACATAAGTTAGCCTGATAAACATGAGGATGAGAGAGGGATGTTCACGGCAAAAGGAACAGCATGAGCAAAAGCATGGAAGTTACAAACAAATGGCACGGTGTGTATGAAGAAACGTTAAGTTCAGAGTTGCTAAAGCATCAAGTCCATGGCAGGAAGTGATAAACAAGGCTTGAGAGATAGGCTTGAGTACTTGAATTTTATCTCGGAGGCACTGGGATGCCTTTGAAGTGTTTTAAGCTGAAGAGTAACCTGCTCAGATTGGATTTACACCAATCACAGTGAGTAGAGAGGAAAATAGAACTAAAAGAGATAAGATTGAAGGCAGAAAACAAATTAGGAGGCTGTCATTAATCCAGGCAAAAGAAAGGTGATGATCTAAACTGGATAGTTTTAGAGAGGACAGAGAGAAGAGGTAGATTTGAAGAACCTTCAGACACCGTGAAGGATTGGTGGAGAGGAGAGGAGAGGGAGCGTCAAGGATGATTCCCACGGTTTGGCTTGCATTACTGAGTGAATGCTAATAGTGTCATCTGAGATTGATGCAGTGGAGAAATGGTCTGAAGAACGGGGGGAAATGCTGAGTTTGAGGTACCTGTGAAATGAAATTAGAAATTTCAGTATATAATTGGATATAGAATCCAAAGCTCTGAGAAATGGTCTGGATTAAAATAAAGATTTGGAAATCAACACCATGTGGGTACTAGTCAAAACCAGGACTATATGAGGTCCTCCAGGGAAGGAGTATACCATAAAATGAGTTGTGGGCTGAGGGCAGACACTATCAGAAGTGGGAAGAGAACCCAGACAATGTCATCAAGTATTTTGCCCTTGCTAAATTGAGTGGGACCCAACTGTTCTATTCTCTGCTCTGAGCAAGTCTCCTGCTTACCAGTGTAACTTTGTCTTCATCTTTGCTTATGTCAGAAAAGCTGGGTACATACTAAGAGAGAAAGTAATCACGTGCTTTTCTTTTGAGGAAAGAGGGACTGCCTTTGGCCTCAACTTCCCTCTCAAAGACCTCATTCTCTGCTTTTAGTATGTGGAGAACAACAAGAATGCAGACAATGATTGGTTCCGACTGGAGTCCAACAAGGAAGGGACTCGGTAGGCAGACACTCTTGGGAGTTTTGGGGGTGGGAATCTTACGTGGCTTGAGCATTTTAACGTCCCAAAGCCCACCGCCGGGCCTTCCCTGCCTCCTGTTAGCTGTCTCCACTCCCACAGCTCCAGAGTTCCCCAATTCCCATCCCATGAGTCTCCCAGAAGAACGGGCAGATTGGACTGAGGTTTGGTCTTTGTTATAGGTGGTTTGGAAAATGCTGGTACATCCATGATCTGCTCAAATATGAGTTTGACATTGAGTTTGACGTGAGTATGATGAAATGGGAAGTATGGAGGTTAGTGGAAGGGGAGGGATTAGGTGATTGTTAACAAGCTAACCTTTCTTGGAGGGACCAAAGAAAACTTTTAAAATGGGAGGGAAATGGTGAGGTTTGAAGGAAGCATAGATTACAGCTACTCATCTCCATATCCAGAATCCCGGTGTGTACATGCTTCTTGGGGGGGGGGGGTGGCATTGTCAAACATTTCAGTTCGACCAAGAAATGGGTATTGATTAGATTAGTTTATTTCTATCCTGCTATCCTGCTTCTGTTTCATTAAGGCCTTGTAATTTCTCCAGATTCCTATCACATATCCTACTACTGCTCCAGAAATTGCAGTCCCTGAACTGGACGGAAAAACAGCAAAGATGTACAGGTGGGACTCAATAGGAGATGGGAAAAGGGCAAAGGGGACTTAGGAGAGAACTCTGGGACAGGAATTTTCCCAGAGTCAGCTTGCCTCAAGGGCCTCTAGGCCTCCCTCTGCCAAGTCTGGGCAAAGTACTTAGCTAACCTTGTGCTCAATTCTGATCACTAGTCGTTATATTGTGCTTCCCAGAGGCCACTATGCTTTATGGTAAACTTTGCATGTCAACACCTTCTTCCTCTTGTCCCTCTCATAGGGGTGGCAAAATATGCCTAACTGATCACTTTAAGCCTTTGTGGGCCAGGAACGTGCCCAAGTTTGGACTAGCTCACCTTATGGCTCTGGGGGTAAGTTTGGGGTATTTGATATATAAGGGGAGGGGGAGGAATTAGGCATGGAGCAATATAAGAAAAGTAACTGAGAATAAACAAGGAATGACAGTGTTTTCCTTGGGCATGTTCCCATAGAATCTCTCTAGGAAGGAGCTTCTTTTTTTTTTTTTTATTAAAGATTTTATTTATTTATTTGAGAGAGAGAATGAGATAGAGAGCACGAGAGGGAAGAGGGTCAGAGGGAGAAGCAGACTCCCTGCTGAGCAGGGAGCCCGATATGGGACTCGATCCCTGGACTCCAGGATCATGGCCTGAGCCGAAGGCAGTCGCTTAACCAACTGAGCCACCCAGGCGCCTGGGAAGGAGCTTCTGATGGAGCAAGAGGCATCGACCGGGTGGTAGTAATCTCACAGGGTCTCCCTTGTATTGCAGCTGGGTCCATGGCTGGCAGTGGAAATCCCCGATCTGATTCAGAAGGGCGTGATTCAGCATAAAGAGAAATGCAACCAATGAAGGATCAAGCCATTGAGGCAGGACAGAGGGACCTTTGATAGGCTACGTTCCTGCTTTCTGTGCATCACTCTTACTCATCCAACTACTTCCTCCCATACCCCTTCACCCATAATTGTTACTAAGTAGCTGCATCAGGCATTGCTGAAAAAAAGAAACAACAGCATTGCTACTGAATTTCTAAGGCTACACAGGAGGGGAAAGACTGGGGCTTTGGGGAACCAAAGGCAATTTGTATCCCTTCCCCAGGTGGAGCAATGTGAGATCCAGGAAGGACGGGAGTGCTGAAAGTGGGTGCGTAGTCTTTTTGGTTTCTGGAGATAACTCATCAATAAAAGCTGCTTCCTCTGGTGGCCCGTGGTTCTCATTGGTGGCTGTGAAGAGAGGGTGAGCAGGCTAACACCCAAGACACATGTACAACTACATTAGTTTGGGTGGGAGGGGAAAATGGAGGAGGATGTTGTGGTCAGGAGCTGGGAAATGAAAGGAAATCTTGGACTGCTCTCCCTCCTGCTGAGATCTGCTTGCAGAGATCTGCTCGTGTCCTTTAGCGGGGGGTGCCTACTGCTTTGGTCTGCAAGATGCTTGAAGAATGGTTTTGCAGGACCAGCATTCCCCGCCCTCCCGGGATCTTCCCAACCGTACGTGGAGTGCTGGATGCTTCTCCGCTGGTCTGCGGGCTGGACCCAGGCATTGCAGCTTCCCACACTCGCACCCCTGCTCCCTGGGAAGGATCTGTGCTGCAGTCCTGGGGGCCATACCACGATTATCAGATATACATCCCCATGGTTTGGAGCGATGGTTTTAAAACAATTCAGGGCAGATCTGGGAACCGGCGGTCCTAAAGTTGGCTGCGTTTCCATGGTGTCGGCGGCGGAGCCAAGGGGGCGGGTTCACGCAAGCGCCGAGGAAGCAGGTGGGTGGATTCCGAGTGGGGGTGCGCAGGCGCTATGAGAGGCGGTGAAGCCGGTGGCCGGTGGCCGGGCGGGACCAACAAAGATGGCGGCGGCCCCTGCGGCGGGAGAGATCTGGGCAACAGCTGCGGCTAAAGCTGCAGCCCGGCCCTCGGGGGGGCTGCACGGGGGTAGTAGGGGGTGGCCCTGAGCTGGGGCTCGGCCCCGGCTGGCCTCCCCCGCCGCCTCACCGGGGGACAGGTACGGGCCGGGGCGCTATGGCGTGGGGGGGCCGCGGGAAGACTGCTCCGGACCCGAGAGGACGCCCTCCACAAAGGCAGGGCGCGGGGGGCCCAGCAGGCCTGGGGGAACTGGGCTGGAGGGACAGCATCCATGCACCGCAGGGAATACGCCGCTGGACCCCGTAGCCAATCAGCGGCCTCGGCCTTTCTGCCCTCGAGAGGGGCGGACCCGGCTGAAGCCCTGCTGTGGTGGGAGAGGTGCGGAGATTAGGGTCGGGAAGTCGTTCCTCCTCCCTCCCCGCCGCTGCCCCTGAGCCCGGACACCTCGTTGGAGCTCAGGGGTGGGGGAAGGGAGTGATTCGCAAAAAACTCATTTAGTCGGCTTCATTTGCAGCCCGGAGGAACAGGGGTTTGAGGGTGGAATGCTGCCTTTTGGGTTGTTTTCCTGACATCCACACCCTCATTTGTCCAGAAATCCTGAGTTACCCAGGGCACATCCCACTTGATTAGCCAGGTGTGGGGGCCCTTGTCAAGAGCGGTTAGATTATAAAGACTGCCGAGAGAGAGACTATCATTGGCTTTTCAGTAAAGCTGTATTCTGCAGGAAGGGCGTGAGGAATTTATAAACAATCAAAGAGGTGCGCTGCTATCATTCATTCATTTACTCAATGGATACTAAGTATTTACTTTGTGTCAAACACTATGCGAGGTACTGGGGATACAATGACTGATATGATAGACACAGTTCCTGCCCTCAGTGTATGTAGAAGCTAGAGCTAGTGTGGTAATGTAGGTTGCCATCTCCCTCCACATTCAAGTGCTGACCCTCTCTTCTCCTCCCAGGTCCAGCCCGTGGTGTCCACAATGCCCCAGGCCTCTGAGCACCGCCTGGGCCGGACCCGAGAGCCACCTGTTAATGTCCAGCCCCGAGTGGGATCCAAGCTACCATTTGCCCCAAGGGCCCGAAGCAAGGAGCGCCGAAACCCAGCCCCTGGGCCGAACCCCATGTTAAGACCTCTGCCTCCCCGGCCAGGTCCCCCTGAGGAACGGCTCAAGAAACTGGAGCTGGGACGGGGACGGACCTCAGGCCCTCGTCCCAGAGGACCCCTTCGGGCAGATCATGGAGTTCCCCTGCCTGGCTCACCACCCCCAACTGTGGCTCTGCCTCTCCCTTCCAGGACCAACCTAGCTCGTTCCAAGTCTGTGAGCAGTGGGGACTTGCGTCCTATGGGGATTGCCTTGGGAGGGCATCGTGGTACTGGAGAGCTAGGGGCTGCACTGAGCCGCTTGGCGCTCCGGCCTGAGCCTCCCACTCTGAGACGTAGCGCCTCTCTCCGCCGCCTCGGGGGCTTTCCTGGTCCCCCCACCTTGCTCAGTATACGGACGGAGCCCCCTACTTCCCATGGCTCCTTCCACGTCATATCTGCCCGGCCCTCTGAGTCTTTCTACTCCGATGACAAAATGGTGAGGACTTGCCAGCACACGTGGCCTTTCATGCCCATGTTCCTCTATGCCTCCAGCTTTCTGGCCATCACATGGCTTTCTTTTCCCTCTTTTCCCCAAGTTCCTTTCTCAGTCCCTCATTACAGGAGCTTGGACTCTCCACTCCCTTACTTAAGTACCCTTGAGCTTCATAGACCTTTTTCAGGTTTTCTGTGAGTCTCCAGCATGGTGTGCCATTTCAGTCTCCAGGGAATTCACCCAACCATTTGGAATTCTTCTCGGGGTCCCCAGGCCCTTACTCTCCCTCGCTTCACCTTCTCTCCTAGGATGCTGCCTAGGCCTAATTAATCTCTGGAGCTGAAGAGGGGCGGGCTCAGAACATCTGAGTTAGTGTGGTTGTCCATTTCCCGAGCTAAGTGAGCTAGGTTTGATTGTAGTCGGAGCTATCAGGAGAGGGTTCAGGAAGGGGCCACGGGGGCGGGAGGGGGCTTTGGGAGAAGCAGGGTGGGTGTGGGGAGCAGCTGGGCAGCCATGCCAGTGCTTGGGGAGCTGCCCCAGGAGCTGCAGCGCCGGCTGGCTGGGCGGAGGAGTAGGTGGGGAACAGGTGGGACAGCCCTGGCTGAGTCCGTGGCACACTCAGCCGTGATGGGCTTACTGCTCATGGCCTGTGAGGTAGGGAGCCCCCAAGACCCTGTGAGGGAAAGAGGGTGGAGTTTGGGGGTGAGGTTCAGGGGTGGGAAAGCAGTGGGCAGCATGCTGTTGAAAGGTTAAAGAGCCAGGTGGCGTACATGGGAACCTGCCGATTCACCTCTGACTTTCCAGGCTCATCACACACTGCTTCTGGGCTCCGGCCATGTTGGCCTCCGAAATCTGGGGAACACGGTGAGAGCCACTCTCCTGCCCTTCGTCTCTAACAGCAATGTGGAATGGTGCTGGGGGAGGGGCGCTGACTTGGGGAAGGCGGGAGGGTGGGGAAGGAGAGCACTGAAGCTCTTCTAGGCTTCCTGGCCCTGGTCTGCAGAAATAATGGCCATGTCTCTCCTGCTCCCCCAGTGCTTCCTGAACGCAGTGCTACAGTGTTTGAGCAGCACTCGGCCTCTTCGGGACTTCTGTCTGCGAAGGGACTTCCGGCAAGAGGTGCCTGGAGGGGGCCGAGCCCAAGAGCTCACTGAAGGTGGGGCAACCACTCCTGCTCGCACCTCTCCAGTCCCCTCCCCAACTTCGGGGTCCATCTGCCAGTCATGGTGGCCCCAACCCTTAAATCTGGCGGTTGTGTTGTTTTTTGCTGGTGCCTGCTTCCCTAGAGATTGTTTCCCACCCTCTGAGCCTGCTTGGGCTTGCCTCTTCCAGTCATGAATCTCTGTTTCCCCACACCCACCCCAACAGCCTTCGCAGATGTGATTGGTGCCCTGTGGCACCCTGACTCCTGTGAAGCTGTGAATCCTACTCGATTCCGAGCTGTCTTCCAGAAATACGTTCCCTCCTTCTCTGGATACAGGTGGGAGAGCTAGAGGGTATGAGATTTCTCTCTGGCCATGTCTGGGGGTTGGGCCAAGCCGGGGCCCTGGTAGCGCTGTTCGGAGCCTTCAGATGTTCTTCATCCAGGAAGTGGGGACCAGTGTCTGGGCAGGAGATAGTGTCTTTGGATTCGGGGACGGGGGTGGGGGAGGTGACAGTTGCCCACACTCTGTTTCTGGCTGTAGCCAGCAGGATGCCCAAGAGTTCCTGAAGCTCCTCATGGAGCGGCTACACCTCGAAATCAACCGACGGGGCCGCCGGGCTCCGCCAATCCTGGCCAGCAGTCCAGCGCCCTCTCAGTCCCGCCGGGGAGGAGTGCTGCTGGAGGAACCTGAGTTGAGGTAAGGTCACGCTCCCTCCCTTACCTTCCCGGCAGTTTCTCAGCAGCATGCATCCTTCACAGAATGAGGATGGGAAAGGCTCAGTCCAGGGAAACGCTCAGCCTAGAAAATGGTTTGGGAAGCAGCGCAGAAGGAGGAGGAAGGAGGCTAAGGGGTGGGGATGGAGGCTGAGGCTAGGGTAGGGATGTCCTTCGGCTGAGGGAGAGGGGATAGCTAATCCACAGCCAGGCACGTGAAGAGTTTAAGGCTCAGGGAAGTCAGCTGTTTTTCTCTTGTTCCTTTATTTTCCTCTCACCTTGGATTTCCCCCCAAAGTCTTCTGAAGCGTTACTCCTTTGACACTTCTCTGAAATGTCGAGAAGGAGCTGGGGTATGGGTGGGGTGCAGGACTGTGGGTCATTTCCCTGGTGCTGGGGTGCCCAGTGATCCCCCTGCCTCATGGGTGCTCCTGCTTCCCTTGATCTGCGGTAGTGATGATGACCGAGCCAACCTAATGTGGAAGCGCTACCTGGAGCGAGAAGACAGCAAGATTGTGGGTACGGAGTGGGCAAAGCTGCACAGGATGATTGGTGTGTGGGGGGGCGGGCTTGGGGGAGGAATCGACACTGTGCAGGGGTGTGGGGACAAGGCTAGACGATGAAAGTGTGGACGGACAGGGGTGCGGGGTTTGTTAGGAGTGCTGGCGTTGGGAGAGGAGGGCACGGGCAGAGGGGTGGGAGAAGACGGGGACCCAAGGAATCTCAGGCACTCCACAGTGACTGTTTCTCCTGCCTCTTCTCTTCTATCTAGACCTGTTTGTGGGCCAGTTGAAAAGTTGTCTCAAGTGCCAGGCCTGTGGGTATCGCTCCACGACCTTCGAGGTTTTTTGTGACCTGTCCCTGCCCATCCCCAAGGTGGGATTCCAGAGGATTCCAGGGGTGGATGGGACATGATCTCTGTGACCCATCCCTCCCCACCCCCAGAGCGTGGGAGGGAGCCCTGTGGGTCTCTGGAGTAGAACTGAAGCCTGGATTGATTGAGAAGACTTGGAGAAGGAAATTCAGAACATGCTGACCTTTCATTCCCATTTCCTCCCCTCCCCCCAGAAAGGATTTGCTGGGGGCAAGGTGTCTCTGCGGGATTGTTTCAGCCTTTTCACCAAGGAAGAAGAGCTGGAGTCAGAGAATGCTCCAGTATGTGAAGTTCCCCAAGGGACACAGTAAGGGTGGGAGACCTGGGGAGGCGGGGGGCTGTGGGTAAAGGGGCTGCGCGATGCTTTGGTGTGGGGAATAATACTTGTACGCCGGGGCTTGTGTTGGAGGCTCAGGTATGTCCTGATAATCCTCGGGCCAAGGGGAGTAGCCCGGAGGATGCAGAGGTCACGGGGAGCATCGTGAATTTGTACGTGAGTCAGGGGTCAGAAAAGCCAGTCGAGGTGAGGAGCGCATTAACCTGACATTATTTGACATTTATTCAGGTGTGTGACCGATGTCGGCAGAAAACACGAAGTACCAAAAAGTTGACAGTACAGAGATTCCCCCGAATTCTCGTTCTCCGTATCCTGATCCTCAAATTCTTATTTCTCCCGTCGTTTTACCCCCCCACCCCCAACCCCCACATAGCCCACGTCTGCAGAGGCTGCACGTTTGGGAATTGAACTTTCCTACCACACTCCCAGGGTGTGTTCCCAGAGGGGAGTGTGGCCACCATTCACGACCTCTGCCCCCTTCAAAGGCCCTCTGCCCCCCAAATGCTCCTTAACTCGGGCTTCGATCTTAATCGATTTTCCGCCTCCCGAGGCTCTATCAAGAAAAGTTCAGTAGGTGTGGATTTCCCGCTGCAGCGACTGAGCCTAGGGGACTTTGCCAGTGATAAAGCCGGTGAGTCTGGAAGGGAAGGACCTGCCGAGCTCCTCTGAAGGGGAGGGAGAGTGGGCGCGGGCACAGCTCTGACGGTAGAATCCCATGGCCTCTAACCCCTCAGGAAGCCCCGTCTATCAGCTGTATGCCCTCTGCAACCACTCGGGCAGCGTCCACTATGGCCACTACACAGCCCTGTGCCGGTGCCAGACTGGTTGGCATGTGTACAATGACTCTCGGTGAGAACAGCCTCCATCGCCATTCCTGCCCCGGTCCCGCTGCAGCGCGCACACGGCGCACCCACTTTTCCCTAATACGAAGCGCCCCGGGAGAGCAGAGTGCTCTCCCAGCTGCCGGGAGGTGGGAGGTTGATCGGGTTGATCGGGTGGGGCGGAGGGAATGTACAGGAGTGACCCCAACCCCCACCCCATCTGCCTTCTTCCCAGTGTCTCCCCTGTCAGTGAAAACCAGGTGGCGTCCAGTGAGGGCTATGTGCTGTTCTACCAACTGATGCAGGAGCCACCCCGGGGCCTGTGACACCCCCTTTAAGCCCTGGCACCTGTGAAACCCGTTCAACACCCTTAAGCCCCAGGCTCCCCATTTACCTCAGAGACGTCTATTTTTGTGTCTTTTTAATCGGGGAGGGGGGAGGCGGTGGTTGTAGCTCCCATTATTTTTTTTATTAAAAAGTACCCTTCCACCTGGAGGCTCCCTTGTCTCCCAGCCCCATGTACAGAGCTCCCCAGGCCCCTGCCCGTGTACAGCCCCTAGCCCCTCTACAATCTCACTTTTTGTGAATAAATTTATTAAGAAAACGTGATGTCCTTATTTCTATTTGTGCTTAGGGGGTGGATACAGAACTGGGCCGAATTGGGAGTGCTCCTCGGACCCAGTTCCCTCTCTGAACAGATGGGGTGCTCTCGGAGCCGGGTGGAGGTGGGGATGCCGGACGCGGACACGCGGGTGCCGCCGTTTGACCAAGCAGCGAAGGTCTACGTTGGGGGGGAAAGAGGGAAGGCGAACCGGGGCCCCGTGAAGCTGCGGAGAAGCCGGTGCAAGCGCTGGGGCGCCGGGTTCTGCCCGGAAGGGGGCTGCCCCTCGAGGGCGAGGCACCGAGGACCCCTGTTGACAAACACGGGGCACGTTGCCGGGCGGCCCCGGCTCCCGTAGGCCCAGGCTGTTGCTAACATCAAGGAGCTGTTTACGGCGCCGCCTCCCCACGGAGCGGCCCCAGTGTCCCTATCTGCTCTCCCTACACCCCGCGCTCGCGTGGCCTCCCCGCGGGCCGTCACCCTCCCCCGGCCTGGGAAGCCGGGGTCCGCAGACCGGGCTCCAGCCCTCGCCGCCGCAGCCCTGGCAGGGCTGGCAGGGCTGGCAGGGCTGGCAGGGCCGGGCCGGGCCGGGGCCGGGCCGGGCGCCCTCCCGCGGCGGGCGCCGAACCAGTTAAGCGCCGCTCCCCGCCGCAGCAGCAGCCGCAGCCGCACGCAGCTGCCGGGCTCCGCGGGGCGGGCGGAGCCGCCGCCAGCTCTGTGCTTTCATTGGCTGACGTGATCCGGGCCTCCCGGGGGCCACCAATCCGGAGGCGGGGGAGCCCGGGGCCGCGGGAGCGAGTGGACGCGGAGTCGAAAGGCCCGAAGGGGGCGGACGGAGCGGCGGCCTTAGAGCCGCGGGGGTGCCCCGAGCCCTGCGCTGGCAGATAGCGTGGGTGGGGCTCTTATCTGCCTCCCCGCCGAGCGCCGGCCGGGGGGGCCCCGAGACCTCCTCTCCCTCTGGTTCCCTCCGTCCTCTCGCGGGTGAGTCCTGGGCCCTGGGCGGGGACCTCACTGGCCCCACCTCGTCCGCCGGCTCTGCCCTAGTTTCCCCCGAAGCAGTGAGTGGCCGGGGGTGGAACGTGGAACCTGCGGGGGGCTTCTGCAGAGCAGGGTGCCCCCCGGTCAGCCTGTCCGATCGCCCCTCTCCCCTAGGCTTCCCAATGGGCCGGACCGTGGTCGTGCTGGGCGGTGGCATCAGCGGCTTGGCCGCCAGTTACCACCTGAGCCGGGCCCCCTGTCCCCCCAAGGTGAGTGCCCCATCGTGCCAGAGGGAGCCTCCTTTAATACTCTCCTCCCGTTTCCGGCTAAAGGGAGCGCGCCACCGTCTTCCCCTGCGGACCCTTTACCCCGAGGCTGTAGGTCGTGCAGCGTGTCTCCCTCCTGTCCCCAGGTGGTCCTGGTGGAGGGCAGTGAGCGTCTGGGAGGCTGGATCCGCTCGGTCCGAGGGCCAGGTGATGCTATCTTTGAACTTGGACCTCGAGGAATTCGGCCGGCGGGCGCCCTGGGAGCCCGGACCCTGCTCCTGGTGAGAGGATTACGGAATGCCCGGGAGGGCTTGCGGGAGGGGCCTTCACGGGAGGAAGTATTGGTGGGCCAGTCCTTTCCTTAGTTTCTCCTCTTCTTGAGGATGTGTGGAGAGCAGGTTTCTGAGCTTGGCTTGGACTCAGAAGTGTTGCCTGTCCGGGGAGACCACCCAGCTGCCCAGAACAGGTTCCTGTATGTAGGTGGTGCCCTGCATGCGCTGCCGTCTGGCCTCAGGTAATGCTGTCACCTCCTTACTGCCCGTCTTTCTGCCTTGCCCGCACTCTCTCACCCCTTCCATTTCCCCATCTCCCATTCTGTCCGCCCTCCCAGCAAGAGGAGCCAGATGAACAGAAATGACTATGCCTTCCTCAGTGCAGGGGGTTATTCCGCCCTTCGCCTCCTTTCTCCAAACCTCTGTTTTGGGCTGGGCTGAAGGAGTTGACCACGCCCAGGGGCAAAGACCCTGATGAGACTGTGCACAGTTTTGCCCAGCGCCGCCTTGGACCTGAGGTAACACGGCCCAGAGGCCCCCAAATCCCTCTCCTCCTAACCAGCAGCAGAGCCCCCTGCTCAAACCTTCCACCTAGGGGCTCTTCTGTATCATTTGGGAACATCCTCTTCCTCTCCTCACACCCAGTAGTCCCCAAAACGCAGCGTTGAGACCGAATTCCTCCACTTCCTTCCCATTCTTTTGTTATAGGGGGACTGCTCCCCACCCGAAACCCTAGTCCACCTCCGGTCCCTACGTACAACACAGCGGCCCTGGAAAGTAGTCTGTGCAGCTTCTTCCTTGGCTTCTCACTCCCAGTCTCTCCCTCAAGGTGGCGTCTCTAGCCATGGACAGTCTCTGCCGAGGAGTGTTTGCAGGCAACAGCCGGGAGCTCAGCATCAGGTCCTGCTTTCCCAGTCTCTTCCAAGCTGAGCAAACCCATCGTTCTGTTTTACTGGGGCTGCTGCTGGGGGCAGGTGAGTGGGGGTGCTGGTTCAAGGGACGAAGACATTAAGGACCGCTGGAGTAAGGGACTGGAGGTCAGGGGTGCTGTTTCAGTGATCCTTCTTTGCCTCCTCCTGTGCAGGCCGGGGCCCACAGCTGGACTCAGCACTCATTCGCCGGGCCCGAGCTGAGCGCTGGAGCCAGTGGTCACTGCGTGGAGGCCTGGAGACGTTGCCCCAGGCCCTTAACACCCACCTGACTAGTAGGGGGGTTCGTGTTCTCAGAGGGCAGCCTGTCTGTGGGCTCAGCCTCCAGGCAGAAGGGCGCTGGAAGGTAGGAGAGCCCCCTGGTGTGTAATGTGTGTGTACGAGTTTGCCTCCATCTTTGCCTAAATGGCCAGGGTTGGCAGGACTAGTTACTCGTTGTTTTCCTGCCCTAGATGCTATTTAAACACGGGCTATCTTAGGGTCTTGGGCCTTATTTGTAGACGTTCCTCCAAGACCTGTTGGATCCAACTCTGGACAGAAGTGGTGTTTGTGAGTGGCCTAGATAGGGGAAGGGACAGCCCAGCCCCACTGCACATCTCCGAGTGGCCACGCTGGCTTCCGTCCGGCCCACTGCCTGGAGTGATGGCGGGGGTGGGCTCTGTGCTGACTGCAGGGGGGTGCGTCTCTTCATCCTGGGGCAGCACTCAGTGTCTCCTGCCAGGTCGGTGCCTGGGAATCTGAGGCAAAATTCCCATTATCTCTGTGTTCTCACATGCCTTCATCCTGTCAGGTGTCTCTGGGGGACAGCAGTCTGGAGGCAGACCACGTGGTTAGCGCTGTTCCAGCTTCAGGTAATGGGGTAGCCCCCCTCTCCGTCCCCAGCCAGAGTGAGGCCAAGTGTAGCTTCCTGGGCCCACGGGACCATGCTGTGAACGCCTCCTGAAGCAGGCCCCTGGCTGCTGTCCCCTAGTGCTCAGCAGGCTGCTCCCTGCCCAGGCCGCACCTCTGGCCCGTGCCCTGAGCGCCATCCCTGCTGTGTCCGTGGCTGTGGTGAACCTCCAGTACCGAGGAGCTCGTCTGCCTGTGCAGGTGGGCGTGGGCACAGACGAACGAGAGCCACAGGCCCAGCCGGGACCCTCCTTCCTGACCCGGGCTCTTCCTTCCTCCAGGGATTTGGACATTTGGTGCCATCTTCAGAAGACCCGGGCGTCCTGGGAATCGTGTATGACTCCGTTGCTTTTCCTGAGCAGGACGGGAGCCCCCCTGGCCTCCGTGTGACGGTGAGAAGCAGCAGCTTTGCTTAGTGGGGGTTTCCAGAGGGTCCTTCTGTGCCCACTAGGTCAGGCCAGGCTTGTCAGTGCCACGTTCTCTCCCTAGGTGATGCTGGGAGGATCCTGGTTACAGACGCTGGAAGCCAGGGGCTCTGTCTTACCTCAGGAGCTGTTCCGACAGCAGGCACAGCACGCAGCTGCCACCCAGTTAGGGCTGAAGGAGCCACCAAGTCACTGCTTGGTCCACTTACACAAGGTGAGTTGAGGATGCGCCGCTCGGCTCCCACTGGAGGCAGGGACCGGTGTATCTGTTGGCGTCTACTTGGGCTTGGCCGTCACCAACCAAAATTTCCCCGCATCCCCTCTTCTCTCCTCAGAACTGCATCCCCCAGTATACGCTAGGCCACTGGCAAAAACTGGGTGAGTTGGGAAAGCGGCTGTGTGAGGAGGGCAAGGAAACCAGACCCCCAGCAGTAACAGTCCCTTCATCATCTTCTCCTTCCAGAGGCAGCGACCCAGTTCCTGGCTTCTCAGAGGCTGCCCTTGACTCTGGCTGGAGCCTCCTATGAGGGGGTTGCTGTCAATGACTGTATAGAGAGTGGACGCCAGGCGGCAGCCCGGGTCCTGGGCTCGGAGCCTAACGGCTGATCCCCAACTCCCACCTCCTTGCCCTGCTTTACCCACGAAAATACAAGTTGCTGGAGCTTGTCTGGGTCTGGTTGTTCTGTATGTTCCTCCAGGCATACGGTGGCGGGGGGTGGGGGCGCTGGGGGTGGAGGAGCGTGTCGCAAAGGTAGGCACAAGGTGCCTGGGATGTAGCAAGCAGGAGCAGAGGCAAGACAAAGTCCTTTATTAGAAAATATATCAAAATCCCAGCCCCCTGAGCCAGGTCCAGAAGAGGAAGTGACTCCAGCACTGGCAGAAAGTACCCAGGGACGGGCTTCCTTCACCAAACGTACTTCCTCGGAACCATAAATAGAATAAATATTCACAGAGGTCCCAGGAAAAGCCAGATCACTCTTCTCTCCACGGAAGAGGAAGGGACTTGGGGTCCAGCCCTGCTCTTACCCCAGGGGCCAGGGACTCTGAGGAGTCATCACATAAAATCATGACATCAAGGATTCACAGTCATAAGCCCTAGCAGGTGACCCTAGAAAGAGGGACCCCCCAGGACTGAAGGAGCCCAGCTCCAGTCCAGCAGTGAGGAGAGGCCCTTGCCTCCAGCGCAGCCCTGGAGTTCAATCCCCCCACATCCCTCTAAGACCGGTGAGGAGCTGAGGGTGGGGAGAGTACAACCCCTCTGATTCAGTTTCATGATTGAGGAGGGCAGGAAGGAGGAGTCAGTGGGAACCACGGGGGGCTGTGTGGTTGGCGGTAGGCAGAGGGCCAGGCCTGGCTGGGGGCCGGCGCTGCAGCATCTCTTGACGGAAGGCCTGGGAGGAACCAGGTGGGTAACGGGGACCAGAGGGAGTCCGGGGGCCCCGAGGGTCAGTTCCAATGTCTGCTGTGATGTTGGTATAGAGAGGGCCCAGCTCTCGAGCCAGCAATCGGTATGTCAGTGAGTTCATCCCATCTTGTGTCCAAGAATTCTGAGTACGGACCAGGAGGTCAAATCTGAGGGTCAGAGGTTGGAGAACTAAGGCCCAGAAAGAAACAGCCAGGAACCTAGGGAACGTTAGGATGCAGTACTTTCCCTGGGGGTGCAGAACCCTATGGAGCCACAGCGATGCCCAGGCAGCCCTCCCTACCTGTGGGGGTTTTCCTCGTTGCCCTTATCGCCTCGATGCTTCACCATCTTGTAGTGCCCCACCGACGTGGGGGGGCGAGAGATCTTCATCCCAGCCAGACGCACCCTGCGGGAAAAGCGAGGGCACCTTGGAGGACCCCAAGTGGAGGAAAGCTGCTGACAGGTCAACAGGGAGAGCTACAGCCCCCAAGGAAGCAGCAACATGTTTCTGTACACAGCGACTAGTACTAGTTAGGCAAAAAAAGTACCACGTACTGGAAGAGACAAAGTCAAACAGAGCGAAGGAAATGGCACAAGAGAATGTAAGGGCTGGACACAGCCCAGCCCGGGCACCCTTTGGCCTTTTAACAACGGGCAGGTAGGTCCGCACCTCCCATCTTTGTTTTCTAAGTGGCTCCCAGGAACTGCCCTGGCATTTGCTCAAAAGGACAGGACAAGCCCAGGAGTTGCAGACCCAAGCTCAGCAATTCCTACCTAGAACAGTGGCTGAGCTGCCTCGACTCCCTCACCCTGCACCGCCCCCCCCAACCCTCAGTGTTAGGAAAAGAATGGAACCAAGTAATCAGGACCCCACCTCTGACATACAGAAGCAAGAACTGAAGATGGCCTGGGAAAGTACTGAAGGAATACGTACATTTAGAAATTGCTGGGTCCTTTACACACATACAGAGGACAAGAACTCAGAGAGGTCATCTGGAGGACACGAGGGGGAGGGGAGGCAATGGGTCCAGCACAGCAAGCCCAAATTTTCACACCACAGATAGGAAATTGGGTCAGCTGAGGCTGAAGGTCAAACTGTTTCACATGCTAAAAATAAGCTGGCATCATGCCAATGGCACAGACTTAAAACCGGAAAGCGATTCGGGGCGATATGGAGCAGAGCCCCTCCTCCACAGCCCCATAGGAAGTGGTCTGGATGCAACGTTAGCAGAAGGCAGGACTGAAGTATCTCTAGGCCTCTTTCCAGCTCTGGAATCCCATGATTACTGCAGCCTGTTGATCTTTTCTCTCCCAGAAACAGAACTCAACAGATCTAGGAGACTGAAGGGTGACAGAATGGGGAACAGCACGAAAAGCCTAACCTGGGTAGATGGGAAAAGCTAAGGGAGAGGAATGGGCACAGTGCAGGAGCCAGAAGCTAAAGACTGGTGTCAAAGGGTTAGAGCCAGGGGTGGTCTCAGAGGATGGATCCAGGCCAAGGTGGGGGTGGGGAGTGGTGGCAGGAAGTCTGACCTGGTAGCAATGTCGTCATCCTCACCACCCCAGCCCCAGTATTCATTGGGGAAGCCATTCATCTTCAGGTACTGGTCAGGAGTGAGCGCCGAGACTCCTCCAAAGTACTGGGGGTACGGGAGGCTAGGGAGAGAAAGATCCTTGGGTTCCATGAGTCTCTTGGGGAGACATCCCTACCCCACAATCCCCTTGGCTCTCCTTCTTCCAATGGATGGTGCGTGTCCCTACTTCCCAGCACCCTCTCATGCCCTCTACCTGTAGCCGAACTTGTTCATGGCAACAGCAACATGCCGGGGTCCCCGGGGGTCACACACATACAAATTGTGGTCGTTCTCGGGCAGAAGGTCCACGTCGTGCAAGAACAGGCAGTCCCACTCCTCATCACGCAGGGCCTCCCGCACCCCAACGTTTAACAGCTTGGCCCTGTTAAATGTTCCATTTCCAGCCTGGAAGGTAATGGAGAAGAACCAGACCACATCTGTAGGTAGTAGCATGGAGAAGGGGGGTGCGGAAGTACAAAAGTGAGAGGAGGGGGATCGAGGGGGGGTGGGGCAAGAATGAAGAGAAAGCCAAACTTTCATTTTTTCATCCAACAAATCGTTTTTGAGCATCAGTATGTGCCTGATTACCTACCTGCTACTGTTTAGCATTTAATCCTGACAACCAACAGCCATGGAAAACAGGTATCTATTAGTTTTCATTCTTTGCCTCACTTTAGGGGGTTAAGAATCTTGTTCAAGGTCACATATGGGACAAATGGCAGAACTGATTTTACTCCAAATCTGTCCAATTCCAAATTTGTGCCATTCCCAATTCAACCAAGGAAAAATCATGGAGAGTACAGGGCAGTTGGAGTACCCTGAACAGAGTCAAGAGGACTAGGGGGCTAACAAGCTGGCAGAGCAGGGCCAGGTGCTTCTCCACATTCAACAGTCTGACCCTCTTAAAATGATTCCCGGGACCCACGGTCGGAGAGCGGTGCGGCATTTCCTCGAGGCTCCCTTACCGGAAAGTCCGAGTGGAGGAGGTTGGGAGTACCTGGTGGATGACATAGATGCCGTAAGCAAGCTGCTGACGCTGCAGGAAGGGGTGCAGGTGGTAGAGCAGCAGGCGCAGGTGGTGCTCCCGGGCCCGGTGGGGCACAATGACGGCTGTTCGGGAGCGGGGCTCACACCCGGCGGGGCGGTACCGGCCCCCCGGTTCCACCCGGGGATTCCTCTCCACAATCTCTGCCAGTGACGGCACTGGGCTAAAGGACACGGACACGGGACCCACTGTTGGGAGGGAATGGCGAGGTCAGGGATTAGAGGGGCGACGAGAAAAGAAGGACCTGCAGGGCCTGGGAACACCGCGGGCCCCGGCAGTCTGGTTCTCGGACTCTGCTCCCCCAAGGGCTTACACAGAAATCTACACACCTTGAGCTTCCCATCATTGGAACAGCTTTGCAAAGTCTGAAAGGCGCAGGCTCTTTACTTAGCCTATCTTATATTAGGGTTCCACAACTCCTGCCTCACTAGCTTAGAAGATGGAGAACACAGAAGGACCTCCAACTAACTAACTGACCCGGGGCTCATCTATAAAAGAAGCAATCCCCGGCCTAAGGCAGCAAGAGCACATGAATGGCCAGGCAATGAAAGGTTGTGGCTCAACCCAGGAGTCCGATCTAAATTCCAAATCCAGAGCCTGCTGATCTCAACCTCTGCCCGCCTTTGGTTACGTTAACCCCAGGTCCTAAATCTCACGCCTGCCACCCTAGCCCTGTCCCCACACCCTGGCCTTCCCTTTACCTCCTCCTCCTTTCTGCACTCACCTAAAAGAGGAGATCGTTCTGGACAGTAGGGCAGACCTTGAGGAGCTGGAGGGGCCCCTGGGGCAACAGGGGCCCCAGGTAGGTGACTGAGGTTACTGTAGACATCATGCGGATGAGAATAGTCAAATGTCGGCCCCTGCTCTCGGCCAAATAGGGCACTGAGGCTTCGGAAGCCCCCCAGTGACAGGTACATCATGACAGCCAGCTGGGAGCCCACAAGCAGGGCCAGTGTGCAGGGCCGCTCCAGCAGCCTCCGCAACATCCTGGGCTCAGGTCTGAGGAGGGAGAGAGGAGAGTTCTGGGGGCAGGCAGCGAAGAGCAAGCCAGCAGAGAGATCATCAGTTACGAGCCAAGGTGGTGCCAAGAGTTGAGAGGAAAAGACACAAAGAGCAAAGTCACAGAAGGGAGCACACAGGTGTACAGTCAAGCGCGGAAAAGAAACAGAATGTAACCACCAGCAGCCCTATCACCTGCCATTTCCAGCCTAAGTTTCACTCTCCTCCACCTCCTCTCCAAACCACTCAGACCAATTACTCTCAGTCCCCACCCTCAAGGATGCTTACATCATTCAGGTCCTTTTCAAAGGAGTCTCTGGAGAACCTCCCTCCCAATTTTAGAGAGGGGCGGACTCACCTAGGTTCAAGCTGTCTTCTTCGGGATCATGGGGACTTCAGGGGGTCCCGGGGGGGCAGAGATGTGAGGCATTATCTAAAATTGGAAATGTCACAGAGGACAGAGAAAGGCTCCATCCAGCACTCCAACAGCGATCCTGGGACCAGCTGGAACAGAAGTGGTCAAGGATAACCACTCACCCAGAGGGGCAGAGATCAAGATCAGGGTGGAACTGGTTTCCCAGCAGTGGAAGTGAGGGAAGGTGGTCTGGGAAAGAAAAGGGGAAGACCCAGAGATGCTAGGTCCCTGGCCTCTGCCCCAGCTGCCCTGGAGTGTCAGGTTTATGTGTACTTAACCATACCCCACCCCGACAGGACCAACCTGTTTGGGGAGTGGGGACGGGGCTGCTAATGGAGACATTATTTTCGCCAAGGGGTGAGGCAGTCACGACAGGATTGTGGAGTGGCCTCAGGAGAACCCAGGGCGGAGTAGGAAACAGGTTCCTTTCCGTTCTTCACGTGCCCGGGAGCTAGCTCCGCAGGTGCAGGGAGCGTGACCACCTGCGAGCTGCAAGCAAACAGCCCCGGAGCGCGGCGGGGAGTAGGATGGGGGTGGCGTCCTCTACCTTTTCTACCCTACCCCAGTCCTAGCGGGGGTAGGGAGGAGGGTTACCGCTAAAAGTGAGATGGGGAGTGGGAGGGCTGGGCAGAGCCCGTCGGGGGTACCTGGGCTGGCTCACCTAAGGGGAGTGGTCAGCGCTCTGCGGAGGGTCACAGCCCAGTTCTTTCGGAGCACCCCAACCTCCTCTTGCATTTGCAATGTGAGCCCACCGGCCTCTATCCGTATGTCCACCTGGGACCCCCTCCCTGCTCAAGCTGGTCTCCGGCCTTTACCCGAAACTTCTCATCCTCCTAGTCGCCCGAACCTTTCTCCCGGGCCTCTCACCCCATCACCCCCAGCCCACATACCTGCTCTTCGGCTTCCCGTCGTCACCGCCACCCCGACAGCCTGGAAGACATCGTCACCGCCATCTTGGAAGCGGGCGCCGCTGGGCGGGGCCTCGCGTCACGGGGCGGGGCCTCGCGTCACGGGGCGGGGCCTCGCGTCACGGGGCGGGGCCTGGGTGGAGCCGCCCGGACGGGCGGGGCGCGGGGAGGGGGTACCGAGGCCGAAGCGCTGCCCCGCGCTGCGGGACCGCTTGGGGAGTCGTCGGGGGCCTCTCCCCTCCGGTTCCACTCCTGACGGGATGCCGTTTCCCACCCCTCAGACTGGGAGGATAGCAGCTCAAATCAGGACCTAATTGCAGGGCCGAGCCTGGCCCAGAGGCCAGTGCGACAGTTTCTGGCGCGTCCCAAGACCTGTCACGGCGGGCCAGCCCCTTCCCGGAGTGTCCGTGGTGCCCCCGCAACTTAGTGCCACTTAGTATCAGAATTGTTTCTTGCTCAGGGTACATCGTTGCGACTGCTCTGGCGCATTTTTGTATCCCCATGGTGTCCCGCAGGCCTTGAAATAGAAACGATTAGTTAATAAAACAAGGAAACATTGAGTGAGGAGGGAAGGGCGGCGTCTGCTTTAATGTAAAATTGTGTTTTCCCAGATATTAGAGTAAAATGGACCCTCCATTAGTACGCAATATGTTTATCTTGTGGTTTCCACTACCCTCTTAGCATGTTGTGTTTCTTAGAAGCAGATGTTCACACCCAGGAAACTTAGCATAACTCACAATGTGTGCCTCCAAAAGGGAGGGATATAAACAATACAGTGCGGTAAATATGACTGCCCAGAAACTGCAACTCATTCACACGTAGAGACTTGGGAAAGACTTCCCAGAAGTGATGGTTAATGGGGAACCAGAAGGACTCATCCATCTGCCCTGTGAGATTCTGTTTCCGAGGGAGCTATTTTACAACTCTGTGTAGGTAACTGATCCACATGCAAATTCTGTGAGGACTGAGGTTCAGTGAATCCCCTACTCCCTACATTGTACAAAACAAAAAACAACAGCTTTTGCTTCCATGTTCATATTCATTTCTGTGTTCCTGATCTGTAGATGTGTGTTCTTTAGATTTCTTTTAAACTAGGTATTACATTGCGTTGAATGGACAGAGGTTTCTGTGATTTGTCCTGCATAACCGACCACCCCACCCGCACATTGGCAGGCAAGCTAAAGAATGTTGTTTGTGAGACGTAAGTGACCCAAGGAGCCTGGTTAATTGACATTAACTGGCCTCCAGGTCAGAACTGGCCCTTCTGGTCTGGGCGCCAAGAGCTATAAAATTTGCCTACAGCCCTACAGCCCCACCGTCTCCAGGCTGGGCTGGCTCCCCAGAATGGAATCCGGGAGGGGAGGCAAACACACCTAGCCCAGCCTCCTTGAATATGTAAAGACAAGATAACATAGGAATGCAGCTAGCTCCAAACTGCACATAGGCAAACAAATGTTGAACTTCAGACCCCATCATTTGCCCTACAAGTACGGCCCTTATAGGGATGGTCAGTTGGAAGTCTCAGCTGGAGAGGCCTCTCTCCATCACATTCCATTTTGGCTGACTCCATGGGGGCTTCCCTACCCGCTGATGAGGTTGGATGTTGTAAGTACTCGATACGATTGCCTTCATCTATGCGCAGATTTTCCTTTTCTTCAGTTTCTTTTAGATTTTTATAATATCAATAAAGTGCTTTTTTCCCTTTGAAACTGAGAATACAGCTGCTGAGAATCTTTTCTTTAGAACACACATCTGTCAGTTCCCACGTGAGTTAAATAAAATCTGTAACACATGTTCATTTTTATTTGGGTATTGACAATAACTCTGTCCTTGGCCAAACTTTAGACAGGCTCCTCTCAGGCTTCTTTTCAAATAAGCCTCATCCTTGGACCACTGGCCACTTTCAGCAAGAATTCTGCTAAATCAGGTTAGCCAGAATCTCCTCATCCCTGATGTAATCATCCACTGACCCTATACATACCCCCTCGTCCTGATTGTATTCAGAGTCAAGTTCCACCTCTCTCCGGTTGGGATAGTCTTCACACTTACTGCAATCATCCTGAAAAAAAAGTCTTCCTTACCTCTTGAACAAGTGTCAGAATAATTATCTCTTCAGCAGTGGGAGAGTCATAATTTCACCTTTTTCTGAACATTGTGTTTTATATATTTTTAAGATTTTATTTATTTATTTGAGACAGAGAGAGCACGAGCAGGGAGAGGGGCAGAGGGAGAGGGAGAAGCAGACTGCTTACTGAGCAGGGATCCCAGGACCCTGATCTCATGACTGTGAGCCTAAGGCAGACGCTTAAATACCTGAGCCACCCTGGTGCCCCAGAACATTGTATTTTAATAGCTGTCTAGCGTTCTGGACACAGGAGACCATAAGTGCAAAAGTCTAAAAATGAGAAGAAAGGAGGGAGTTTGGGAAATTAAAAATGGATCGGTAAGGCTAGCCATTCGGGGGAAGGGCATGGTGAGCTAGGAGTCAGAAGAGGTGAACAGGTGCCAGGTAGTAAAAGTCTCCATAAACTAGTTAAAAAGAATGGGTTTTATCCTGGGGGAAGAGGAAGGCGGGAAAGTGCTCTAAACAGAGAGTGCTACTGTCAGAACTTTAGGAAGTTCACTCTGGTGGAAACACAGAGCATTCACTGGAGTGGTCAAGACTGGATGCAGCAACACCATTTCAGAGGTCACTGCAGAAATCCAGGAGTGAGGTGAGGCTCATGCAAAATAAGGCAATATCAGTGATGGGGCGGGGGGGGGGGCGCCTAGGTGGCTCAGTTGGTTAAGCTTCTGCCTTCTGCTCAGGTCATGATCCCAGGGTCCTGGGATCAAGCCCCCATGGGGCTCCCTGCTCAGCAGGGAGCCTGCTTCTCCCTCTCCCTCTGCTTGAGCTCTCTCTGTCAAATAAATGAATAAAATCTTAAAAAAAAAAAAAAAACAAGCAAAATCAGTGGGAATAGAGGGAAGAGGTTGTCTTTGAGGACTTTACAAGGCCAGTAGGGCTTGGTGATTGCATGGATGTGCCTACTCAGGGAGTCAGAGGACTCCCTGATTCCTAATGCGGGCCACTGGGTGGATGGCGGCTCCTTTCAGTAAGAAACAAAACTTATAAGAGGCACATATGGGTGAAACAGTAGAGATGACAAGTTAAACTTTGGGCTTAATGAGTTCGAGATACCTGTGGAGGCTCAAAATGAGACAATACTGGGTTTCAGTCTAATTGGCTCTGAACCCCACTGGCTGTGTGATGTTGAACAATACACTTTCTGGGTTTCATCTATAAAATGAACCCCATATAAAGGGGGGTTTGTGATAATTAGAACTATGGGACAGTGATGGCAGAAGTTAGATATTCAGTATATCTGAATTTTGAGCACAAAGTAGGAGCCAAGTAAAAGCTCTGGTATTTTAAGGAGCTCACTGGGTAGTAGAAAAGACAAACATATGGAAAATGGAGGGGCACATAGATGGTTCAGTCGGTTCAGAGTCTGACTCTGAATTTTGGCTCAGATCATGTTGATCTCCGGGTGGTGGGATCGAGCCCCACGTGTCTGGCTCTGCACTCAGCGGGGTGACTGCTAGAGATTCTCTTCTTCTCCCTCTCCCTCTGCACCTCTCTCCACTCTCTTTCTCTAAAATAAATAAATAAATCTTAAAAAAAAGAAAAGAAAGTGGAAATGTGGTTCTCCCCGAGGACCTCTGTTCCTCCGTGGTGTTCAGTTCTGTAAAACTGACCTTCATCTTCTTTTTTCTTTTTTAAGATTTTATTCATTTATTTATTTATTGAGAGTTTTTTTGGGGGGGTGCAGAGGGAGAGGGAGAGAGAGAATTCGAAGCAGGAACATGGAGCCTGACTCAGGCCTGGATCCCATGACCCTGAGATCATGATCTGAGCCAAAATCAAGTCAGACGTCTAACCGACTTAGCACCCTGGTGCCCCCTTACCTTCATCTTCTGTCCCAGCTCTCTGCCTGCCATGTGCTACAATTGTCCTGCATTCATTTATAAGCCTCCTGTTTTCAAGAACTCGCACCTCCACTCCATCTCGCCCTGGCCACTCTTTGGACTTAGTCATCACCCAGAACTGCTACATCTCCTTAAGCTTTGATTCTAATGTGCTGTTTTTTACCACAATATCCTGTCTTTATATGTTCTGAATAAATTCTGGGGCTTCTAATGGCCCAGTCATGACACGCAATGCAATAGAAGAAACCCAGTCTAGTACTCAAAACTGCTTCAGAATGATTTTTTTTTTTAAAGATTTCTTATTTGTTTATTTGAGAGAGAGAATGAGAGATAGAGAGCACGAGAGGGAAGAGGGTCAGAGGGAGAAGCAGACTCCCCGCTGAGCAGGGAGCCCGATGTGGGGCTCGATCCCGGGACTCCAGGATCATGACCTGAGCCGAAGGCAGTTGCCTAACCAACTGAGCCACCCAGGCGCCCGCTTCAGAATGATTTAAATCTCTGGTTTCTCAAGGAAACGTCGGAGGAGAGCATGGAGCGGGAGCACATTTAATGCATGGCCCAATGTCTTTAAAATCCTCTCCCCCGTCCAACATTGTCCATTGAGATGGTAGCGTCTCTCCAAAACTCTTCCTTCCAACCTTACTTGGCTCCTTACAATATTATCCTCCAGCTTCAAGTCTGTTCACTTTAGGGTCTCCTTGGTTTTGCATAACAGAGAAGAACCCCGGAGCTGACTTAGCAAAGCAGAAATTCTGCCCTCCCCCTTTGTCGTCCTACTCTCCTTAGGGGCCCTGCAGTCTTACAGCCTATTTCTAGAAGGGGAGGCAGATACCTCCTCCTAGAATCCTTCTGTGACCCCATATTCTGTGCTAGGCGCCCCTCATCTCTCATGACATTTGTCACACTGGTCTGGCATTTTGGTCTCAGCCACCAGACTGTGAACTCTGAGGACAGGCACCACGTCTTCCCTTTTATCATCCCCTGAATGTGACCAAGACCTTTTAGCACAAATTCGACAAAATAGCCCATCTTAGATCTGACCTAGACAGTTCCTTGGTAGAATTATTTTCTGATGCTAATGCAGGAGTGGG